ATTATCTACAAAATGAGACTTGTTAAATTAATATCGGTTAATAAATAAAAAAGTTATTGCAAAAAAACAAGAAAAGTGCCCATTTTTTCATTTGTTTATAACTATCGCATTTATTGTTAAAATTTTATAAAACCTATGACAAGTTGAGGGTTTTGTCATACNNNTCAGTAATAATATAACAAGAGAGTGAGAATAAATTGAAAATAATTTGACAGATTTTTTGAAAACTTGTTGCCAGGCAATAGTCACGAGAGCCCGCAGGGCTCGAGTGGCTATTTCCAAATGGCAACAAGTTTGAACAAAATCTGTCAAATTATTTTCTAATTTATGGAACTCGCGAGTTATATTTGACTAGATTATTTTTTGATTCACAAATTTTTACAATAAAAAAGATCAATAAAACTATCATAAAACTATTGAAAAATTTAATTTAATTAATTATTACAATATACGAAAATATCGTTGACACATTGTGAATATATTAAAAGAATTAACAATTTAAATTAGTACAATGAAAAACGCAATTATTAAAAATATTTCGAGAGTCATTATTTATTGAGGATTTGGAATTGCTTGTTATATTAAGTGTTTCCTCCTGCGTATTTTCTCTAAGATTATTTATTATATTTGAATGATGTTCTTGGTTCAATTGTAAGTATGGTTTAATCGAACTTGCAGAATTATGACCAGTGACCTTGATTAGTTCTTGTTCTCCTACACCAGCTTTTGAAAGGTTACTTACTGCACTTGATCTGGCAGAATGGTTAGTTATTTTTTTAGTAACTGTGTCTAGACCTACTTTTTCTGCGGATTCTTTCATCCATTTTGAAATGGAATTTATTCCCACAGGAACGTTTTTATACCAAGAACCATGAGTTTGCCAAGCCGGATTTGGAGTAAGAAACAAGCGTTCGGTTTTAATATTTTCTTCACGTTTACCCATTAGTTTTTCAAAAAGACGAACAGGGCAAATATCTGGGTTATTTATGTTTGGAGTCAACCATTTACTATTAGCGCACCTTTGTGCTCCACCCTGTGCAGTTTTTGTAAAGATGGGATTGTATTCAATGCGGCCAGTATTTAATCTTATTATGTCGGTTTCTTTTTTAAAATAATGAACTAAACATTTCGTAGCTTCTCCTCCCCTCCAAGCTAGTTCATACGATGCAACGTGAAAAAACTTTCTTTGCAATCCACAAGGTGTATCTTCGTCCCAATAGTTAAAAATTTGCAACAATTCTGTATTAGAAAGTGCCACAGAACTTTGTTTGTGCTTTTCAGGATGTTTTTGTAAAATTTTTCTTTTTGCATCTCTTGCATTTCGAGCATTTTTGAATTCTATATCATGGAAAGGATCAAAGGACCTGTTATACTTATTAAAGTAAAGTTCTTGAACTAATTTTGCCGTTTTATTCCACATTGTCTTTATTACTGCTTCTTTATAATCATTTCCGTCTTTTCTTTTCATGTTATAAGCCCAATCTTTCAAAATCAATGCCAGAGTAGCTGTTGTAGTAGATTGATCCAGAATATAATTTCTTTCTTTGGTGAAGGTCTTAAATTGTCTCCATATAGACTGATTACTTATTAGAGTATTTTTCGAAGTAGTTTCTACAATCTTTTTTGTTATTTCTGCATCAGAAAAGGTACTAAACCGATGATTTTCACCCATTTTATATATCGCGTTGACACAATTAGGTAATTATTTTGACAACTATCTGACACTTGCTACGCAAATAAAAGCCACAGTGATTATTCCCGAGAATAATCACAAGAGATTTATTCCCACTATAATAATGACATAATTGGTTGAAACTTACCCTTGTGACAAATAAAGAAGCATTTCATTGGTTTTAAGAAAAGTCAAAAAATAATCATTATAATTATTGTTTATATCACAAGAGGCACAACATTACGTATATAAGCCAGGTTATTGAAATTAAATAGAAGTGGTCTCGTGGCTTAAAGCGTTACGCGTTGTCCTCCTAATCTAAAGGTTCGGGGTTCGATCCCTGTTGAGGTATGTTTTTTTTTCAATTAATATATTATTTCGAATGTAATTTTTCATCGTCCACATTTCAATACAAATATTTCCGCACCAGTTGCTGGTCACGAAGTGAATAATTTCTCACAGTGTTGCCAAATATCTGCTGATTCGAGGCGCGCTAGATTGCTTCTTAAATTCTGCCAGAAAATCTNAGCTCGACGAAAAAATAACAATGGGCATATTTACGAATTCGTAGAATAGTCCTGAACCCCAGAAAAAATGCAACTTTTATACTTAATTTTTTTTAATTTACAAAAATGTCAAAATTATTGTTATACGAAATATTAATTAACATTTCAATTTCGAAATTATTTTACTATTATTAAATAAACAAATGAAGCTATCGTTCATTTAAAGAGTAATTTTTTTTCATATTAAGGCAAAGTAAACTTGTTTTTTCAATATTTTGTTATATAGCTATTTAATTACGATTTAAATGTAAAATTAAAGTAAAAATTCACAAATTATTTTCAAATTATTATTTATTGTTAAAAGATTTAAAAAAGAATAAAAAGCATTTGAATTTATTGCAAAATTCTCAAAATTAAAAAATATTAATAAAAATAATGCGGTCGATAAAATTACAATTTTAACTTCTTGAAATTTTAATATATAAAGTTTTTTTATTATACTTATTACTAATTTTATACGAAAAAATTTTTGCAACATAATCAAAATTAATTAAAAAAATATATTAATCACAATCATTTTCAATAATAGATATAATGCAATATAATACAACAATTTAAAATTTAAAATTTTTTCTATTTTGTCGAGTTTCACTTTTATTTTCGCTAATTTTCCTGGTGTATATATACAAGTGTTGGATAGAAGTATTTTGCAGCTGAGTGACAAAAAAGACTGAAAATTTAACGAAAATGTCGACTTCTGATGACAGTTTTGGAAAAATGAATTTTGCGCTTACTTTTCAGACTTACAGTATTATACCATTTCAGACAGCAATATTTTCAGAATTTGTTTCTCCAAACTTTTATGTAACACCACAAACGGATTTAATTCTTTAAAATCTGACGAAACTATTCTTGAAAATGAATCTACATTATTGCAGAACTGTTAGAATAATTGCATTAATTTTGCTTCATTACCCCAAATTCCAGGCGAGAGTCATTCATAGTGCAATAACTTCCATTACACGCAGTTTAGTCCGTTGACAACCGAACTAAAGGGCTCGCTATCTCTCAGAACTTGTCAGGTCAGCCGTTGCATCCGAACAAAAGTTTATTTAGTTACCACCTAGTTCGCTCCTATAAATGGCAGTGTATTGTAGGGACAACGGATCCGTTCACAACTGCAAAGTGAACCGCTGACCAACAAAGAACAGCGCAGTGATAACGGGGAATGCCAACTCGGATGACAGGCGTTGCATTCACAGGCATACCGGGTGGCCTAAATCATAAAAACTACAAATATGTATTTGTCGTTCACGTGATGATCCATTCATTTCTTTACCACAACGTAGAAAAAAATCATTAATAAATCATTGATGCTATTTCCCAGCCAGCAGGTGTTGTTTGCCGATCAGCGTTTTGTATTTATGTAATAGGTACAGCATATTCGGAAATAATACTGAGAATCAATTTTATAACACTAATTTTTAGGTTTACCAAGCTCTTTCGGTATCTCGTACGTCAATGTGTAGATCATAACCCTTTAACCTTAACATACAGGGTCTAACTTCGAGCAGGGGCCAGGGTTTTTTAACTTTTAATAACATTTCCTTTAAATACGAGATTTGACAACAATGCACAACCCAGTTGGTAATTGTGCATGCGCTGCGGTTAAAGAGAGGAATTGGTTGAGGTCACACTAGCTTGTGCAACGGCGGGATAATAAACTGTGACCCTCATTCAAGGTTACACCCAGTATATTAATAAGAAAACTAGAAGAAACGGTTCTAAAACTTCCGTAACATTTATTTTTTTGTGCGCCAAGCGGCTAAATTTAATGCTGTTCTTTCTTTTTAACAATAACACAAAAAGGAAATTATTTCTCTTCAATATGTTTCATTAAATAACTTTGTTGGTTATATTTCCAAGCAAACCTTTAACAAGCTACCAATTGGGGGAATATACAAGGTTTCCTTTCTGATTCGACATATGATATGATTTAAAAAAGTATTACTTTTGGTGGGCATGTTGATATGTTTAATTTTTTGATATTATCACGATATGTCAAAAAAAAAACATGCAAAAGTCATGTTGGCACCATTGCCTGGAATAAACATCAAATTTTGTGGTAACCTTGTATATATCCACATTTAAAAGCGCAATACTGTCATCATAGGAGGCCTTGAGTAAAAACAACTATTGGTACTTAAAAGGGTTTTGATCACACCACTCAGAAGTACCAAAAAAATCACAGAGGAACGAAGCACAAACCTTCAAAGCAAACTTAACCTCACTTTCACTCGCCCATTCACTCCGAGTTTTACAAAATTCAACAAAGTCTTATAGTCACGTCTCCAGTAACACCTCTAGTAACATACACTAATAAAAATAAGGTTAGAATCACGAACTGACGCCTCCGCATCTCTCATCTAGTCGATATCCAAGATGAAGCAAACGGCCAACTACGTCACGACATCGAAATCTTGAACACATCGCTCGTCCATTGACTGGCCCGATCCAAATGATATCTCCTTCGTATCCCGGTGTAGGTGGGTGGTTTCAGTGATCCAAAATGACAGGGGCGGCTCAAAATCGGACGCTCTGCCGCCGAAGCCCCACCTGGTACAGAAAAAGTTAAGTTGGTGAGTGGGAACGGTCACGAGCTTGGCCAGATCTGAGGCTCATTGAAATTAAAGCACAGTAAACGTGTTTGTGAGTGGGGAGAGCCACAAAGTTAGCCTGATCTGAGGCTAATTGGAATTAAATTAGAACGTGGCGTTTTGAATGGGTGTACGGGTGTATCTTACCTAGGAAAACGACTTTGGCTATGCGTCCACCTCGTGGCATACCTCCATATAGTCAGGGTGCAACATAATGTCTTTAATCATATCCTTTAACATGGAATAACGTAGCACCATTGGGTAGATTTTGGCGTTTGTATATTCAGTCTGTGAACATACCAACAATGGTAATATTTGATATATTTTCTTATTTAAATCTATTACTTTACAGACCTAAATCCAATTGATTGGTATTGGTAAATGTTTCGTTAGTATCAATTATGGGAAAGATGGTTCAATTTTTACTATATATCATACAGATTTAATCATATTGAAGAAGCGGGAGTAATTACCGTTTTATTAAAAAAAAAATGTAATTTATTTTGTACGGTTGATCACATAAAAAGAAAATGCCGACTTCGATACGAATTACAGAAGCAATTTTGGGGAAAAAGTAACTTCTTAAACACACCCACTTGTTCTACCATCGACAATTAACCGGTTTAATTGCTTTCGATCAGCTTCGCAATAGCGCTGAGGAAATGGACTTTCTCTTTTTCAGCCTTTTTCCGGACGACGTCATTCCCAGTTCCCAGAATTAGGGTCTAAATTCAATAGACACACCGTCGAAGTTGTCCAAGAGGAGCAAATTCACAAAATAATGGTTTAACTAACACAAAACAACTCGTGGCTCTCAGAAATATTTATAGTGATACTATGCAACTATTTTTGAGGTTAAAATTAGTGGTAACTTCCCATTTACGTGATCTGCTTATTCCTAGATCACTTTAGATCACTTAAATGAAAAGGTGTTTCAATTTTTTATTGTTCTTATATTACTTACAAACCTTTAATTGTCGAATGAGATTCCTTAGTCCAGAATATTTCTTAAGCAGTCTATAGAGGTCATTTGTCATTTGTGTGTTCTCCGTGTCAATTTGCGACGTTGTCATATCTACAAAAAAGTACCCAACTCTCGAGAATGTTCCCGAATTACTTCAGTACTCACTTTCTAATCGCTCTATTCTCTCCCTCTTGTCCTGGGCCTCCTCAGCCAGCTTCGCCGACGTTTTGACGCCCTCCCCAGACTTCTGGGTCTTCTCCATGATAGCGCATGCGCGAAGCACGAAGGCCGGGACCGTTTCTTGCTTTTCTTGTTTAGGGATGTCTACCAGGGTCCAGTACTGCGTTTCCAGCCTTATCACGTCCTGAAATTTGAAGTAACTTTAGAGCTAACAAAGAAAGGAGTAAAAATTAATTATTTCTCTTGTATGAGAAGGGTCTCGAGAGCTAGTCTAATAGCTTTAGATATCCATTGCGTATGCTTGTCAGGATATGCTCTCGGTCGTTGATTCCCAATAATGGCAATTGAGGATCAATAGGTCTGGTCCTTTGGGGGATATGTAAACCCCTGGATCACCCTGTGATAGTAGCCCTTTTGAACTATTACACGTGTTATCCCAAATGGCGTAAATTGCTACATTGTTGACAAATGATGGGACAACTTAGAGTAATTTTGTTCTTTTACTGCATTTAGTTGAAGAAATAAAGGTATATTGACGTTACAACGTATATTTCTATAAATATGCTGTATATTTCCGTGGAATGGCGTTGACGAAATAGGATGTGTTTTAAAGTTAATCTCTGTACGCGATATTTGTTAAATCTCGGAAGAAATTGTTCAAGGTTGTCGGTTGAAATGAAGTAGAACCAATTCTTTCAGGAATTCTGTAATCATTTTTATGTTTTGGTTGTAAGATAATAAATAATATATTCTCTTTCACTGGCGATTTTATAATAAATTTTATGAAAATACGTTGTAGAATTGCTACATTTTCCAAGGAATAGACAGGATGACCTAAAAATAAAACGTTTATAATATATTCCGCTTACATCATGTTACTTATTCTTCAAATTTGAATTCCCAACAAGTTATAATTGTAAAATATGCATCGTCCACAAATAATGCATAACGGGATTCCTCGTGGTAAAATTCAGAAAATTTTCGCGTTTCGTACGTGCCCAGCTCAATGATTCAGAGAATAGGCAATTCCAATCGCGCTAATTTGAATGTCCGTTCATTTTTTTTAACGACGACGTCTGCACCCGTCGCTTTATCAAATATTCAGCTTTAAAATGACGGGATATGATGGTTTGCTTATCGCGGTCTTAAGCCGCTAACGTATTTAATTAGTAGTGTATTTAAATGGGGGATCGTGTGGAAAATTCAGTCAAAAGTCGCCGAAATGCATCGGGTTGCAGTTGTTGTGATCGTCCTTGCTTCCATCTTTACCCAAAATGTGAGTATTAACAAAGCTTTTGTGTATCTATTCTCTTCTACGTCTTTTAGCAGTTTATTGGTAATGATGGCATTGAAAAACCAGCCATTTCTCAGTTATTATTAATATTTTTTTTAATTTGAACTAAGCTTAGTTGATTAAATCTAACTAGAAAAATTATTCGTTTTATACTGGCTTATGTGCAAAAGTGTAAATTTTTGCCCATAACTGGATTAGTTATTTCTTATGTATCTCGAAAGCAGTGTTTGAGATTGTTTGCTTGTAAGAAGTATATCGTTGACACTCCGTATATTTTATTATAGGCACAGAAAGTAAGGGATATTAAAAAAATCCCAAAATTTTGAGTGATCTTCGAAGACCTGTTATTTGAAGGGAAATGGTCGTAGAGAGAATCAAAAAACAGGAAATTGAAGCCTCAAGTGTCTAGTTTTCTGATCTCGAGTTTAAAATTTTTTAGCGTTAGCAGATTTTGAGCAATCAAGGAAATCAACGGACAAATTTTTTTGTAAATTTTTGCTTTTTTAAAAAAGGATCGACTTCACAAAAATTTTGTTGGCAATTTCAGCATAAATCTCTTTTAGATAATTTAATTCTCTTCAATTTGAGCGGTTCCGGAGTCTTGTATGTACGATGATTTTTCGCTGTTATCGTCGATCAAAGTAAAAAAAATCATTTTAGACTTCAATTGGCAATCAATTACTCGGGAAATAATGGTGGTACAGAAAATCCAAGCAGGGCTTTGAAAACTGCAAAGTATTCTCTACAAATCGTAATTATTGTAAAGAAAAATGAAGAGGATTGAAGTCCGGACTTCTGGGTGGACAAGAAAAAATGCTTACATAGCCAATCCAGCGATTTGGAAAAGCTACATTTAAATATGCACGCACTGGCCGAGAAAAATATGGTGGAGTTCCGCCGTGCATGAACCACATGTCTCTTCTTAAATAAAGTAGAACTTCTTCAAGTCGTGGAACCATTTTTGCCACCTAGAAGACCAGACTTCATCCTCTTGATTTTTCTGTTTGGCCTCGAATGAAAGATATCGTTTACAAAGAATCTATTGGTTCGTATGAAGACTTGTGGCAAAGAATACAAATCGCTGCCAACGAAGTCGGACGCAATCCCAATATGTTGTTTCAAACTCGAAGATCTCTCAGAAAACGTTGTGTAAAGTGTATCAGTGTCAACGGTGGATCCTTCGAACAATTACTTTAAATCATTATTACGTAGGTTTTTCATTTGTTTTATTGTTAATTGTTGTAATAACATGAAGAAACACTTAGTTTGTTTTGCTATTCGTTTCTCGTATTATCAAAACATAGTGTTAAATCTATTCGAAAACGCATCGAGATACAGAAATGAAACAAGAGTACACAATTAATGGAAAAATGATTGCTCTTTCAGGTTTTGAACCAAGTTTCATGTTAGACATACAGGGTAAAAAGTTATTAACTAAATGTTCGGTAAAATTGGCCGTAAGTGGCGCCCTCTAAGAACAACGCTGAATTTACAACACGCATCTTATTCGTCGCTTAAAAAAACATAGTTTCACAAATTTTCAAGTTCCTAACCTGCATATTTTCAGAATAATCGCAAAAAAACGATTAAAATTTTAACTTTCAACACCCTGTATTTCCGAAACTATCAACTTTCGGATAAGGCATGTTTACGCCAATGGTCACCATTTTACGTGTAGTATCTTCAGCTTTCGATTTTCCCATTGTTAATGAATCACCCTGTATATATTTCTTACGTGAAGAATATTTTCTCCAAACTAAATTTGATGAGCTTACGTCATTACAAGAATAATTTTTTCCTGAATGAACTATATTTTACCTACGTAAATCATTAGCATAAATTCTGACGTTAATGACAACGAATAATGCGGTTTATTGAAATATATTTTCAACAACCACAAGATTGTTAAATTTATTCATTTTATCTTTGGTAGAATAAAAATACCATCCGTACAGCTGTTGCCGCAAATGCATTTTCGATTCAAACTTGAAATAACTCTTTTCAAAAGTAGTTCATTTGATTACAAACGAAATAATTAGTCCAATTAAATAGGTTTAAATCGGAATTTGGTTAACTTGCCTTCAAATTCAATTTTTTAGTCGTTAATTTTTATGATTTAACACTAAAACAATTTTTTTCTATGCCATTCGATTGACTATTTAAAACATGAAAAGTTGCTTTCGAAATTTTGTTTTACGACAAAAATAAAAAATCACATTCGCTTAGTGAAATTGTTATAACATTTTTATTAAAAATTTAAAAATATATCTATTTCTCTGACAAGATAGTTTACATTTTTTAGAGTAGATTGAAAAAAAAAATATAAAAATCATCATCATTTTTCTGCATGTTACGATTTTTTTAATTTCTGAAATCATCTCTTAACTTCTAGTCCCCCTAACTCTGTTAATTTTAATAATACAAGAAAAGTCAATAGATCATTTTCAAGTAGAATTTTATACTCTATAACTTTTATAAGAAACTTTTTTTTCTAGCTTTTACCACTTTGGAGTTATCTTGAAAAACCCCTATATTATATCATTTTTCACCCCTGGCCGAGGGTTGACAAAAAAATTACTGTCACTTATTGTTAAAATATACCTCAAACTCACTTATATTAAAAATTCAGACCGGTTGACCAAAAGTGTGATTTAAAGACCCATTTAATTGGATTAAATCCATGGTAGCCAGCTGTCTCATAAGAATGACCATTTTGCAAAGCCTATTTCTTTCAATTTAGCACGCGTCCTGGGGGGGACACTCCTTGAAGTCTCAGCCGAGGGGGTCCCGCGTGATGACAGACGAACGATCCTTTTACGACTGCAAACACTCGATATGCCACAGCGTCGAAAACTACCCGGAGGAAGACATCAACGTCGCCATGGAGCAGCACCACTCGCTGAAGTCCCTGTTGTCTGGTGCAGTCTTCAACGTCACTACCGCCGTTACCATAGCGAGCAGGATACATCCTTTCGAGGAGACGAAGTCGTCCCAGCTCTGCAACGCGGAAGGACCCGCCAAGTACAAGCCGAAAGCGATGCGGAATTTGTCGAACCAGTGGAAGATCATCGTGAATACGGTCAAATACCGACAGGTGTTCACTGTGGAGGCATGCCGGTGAGTTTTAACAGCTCGCGATGTTCCTTTATCTTCCTTTGCAGTGTAAATCCAAGTAGTCCAGGCGGCAGAGCAGCAGAAGTAGGCTTTGGCGTCTGCGTTTGAAGTCATCTGTTTTGTTGTACAGAAAAATCCCAAATATTATGTAGAATATGAGTTTGCCAAACATACATACAAAAAGAATGAAAAATTACCCGCTTTTCGACATATTCCTCCCTGTTATATTAAAAGTAAGCCCTAAATAAAAAAAAGTCATTCTTTATTTTTTGTTTATTTGACGATTTTCTATAAAGTTACAATAACTGCGAACCAACAAAGTTGAATTTTGCATTAACAATGAGCGAAAATAGTAGAAAATCATATGTATATTTGGAGCAATTTTTAAAATAAGTAAATATTTATAAATATTGAAGAAATATTGTGAACAAATTAAGAAAACTTCAAAAACTTTATCGCGTACCGTGGGTTTAAATTAAGGTTTAGGAAGGGCATACAATTTTTTAGAGATACCTACTTGTCATAATAAACAATGATCAATACTAAAAATACCTATTTCTACATTTTCAATAAATAATTATTTATAGAGTGAAATATTGAAAAATGTTTAAAAAATTCTAAATGATTATAAAAGTATAAAAATAGGTATTTTTAGTACTGATCATTGGTTGTTATGACCACAAGTATCTATAAAAAACTGTGTGCCCTTTCTAAACCTTAATTTAAATCCACGGTACGCGATAAACTTTTTGAAATTTTCTTATTTAACAGTCCTGTCAATCCAAAACCACGAAATATGTCGAAAAACGGGTCATTTTTCGTTATTTTTGTATGTTTGTTGTTCCCCTGAATTTAGCAAAATCGAAATAGGCAAACTCCGATTCTTATTCTACATAATTGGGATTTTTCTGAACAACAAAGTAGATGACTTCAAATACAAACGCCTACAGGTTATGATACAGTTGTGTAAGAGTAAGAGTCCTTAAGACTGAATTGAGACTTTTCTGCAACTAGTATATAACTTGTAATGTAAACAGACAGTTAATTGTGAAGCTAATAGCAATATACTTGTAAAAAGAAAGAAATTAGATCTTTTACTGAGCTATAAACACCTTAACAAATACCAAAAGGGTGTTTTTCTTGTTCAATATTTCCTTTTTTGAGCAGTTACCTGAAACCAGTGTTTTTTAGGTACGGGTGTTGAAGTAAAAAAAAATATACCTTTAAATTTCTTCTAAACAAATGTACTGAACTATTTTTTTCTTTACAGAGAATTGTCAAGTCCCGACGCCCCTGATACAAGGTGAGTAAAAATAACTAGTCAAAGTAAACAAAATAAAAAAAGTTTCTTATATAAGTATCTCCATATTAGATCCTGTTTTTCTCTTCAATTGCTTTAATTGTTGTAATTAAAAAATCCTGTAATTTTTTTCTAAACTGATATACAGGGTGTCCCTGAAAATGATGGACCACAGGTCCCCTGGATGAAAATAGCTTAACTTATCTATATTCAAAAATGCACGCCTACTGAGATATAGCCTTCTAAATATAGAACACATAACCTAGTTTTTTTCAAATAATTTGAAAACTGTTTTTCTTAGATACTTCAAATTTGGTACACATATTCTTTTTTATATAAGGGCAATGTAAATATAGAATTTGGTGAGAATACTTATACAGGATGTTCTCTTTCTAGTACCTGTGCGCCACTGGCTATCCTATAACTTTTTTGTGTGTACGCCAATGACGACATAAGTTATATTTTTTAAAATAAGCACTATTTTAGAAGATTTTTTGCCTCTTACAAAATTTTGATATCGTTTATGGATTTCGAGTAAAATTGGCATTTTTTACACATTAAATAATATAAAATCAGTTTAACATAATTAGAACAGTCTACTACTAGCAGGCCCGGATCCAGAGACTGGTTTTGGGGGTGGCGCAAAGCACTTCTTTCAGAGGAGCTTGACACTAATGAATCCTTACACTTGCATTAATATCGACTAACTGCCTGTTGTCGTTTGGAGAAATTGAAGATCTTTAAAAAATGTTGTGCTTTGGGGGTGGCGATCGCCACATCGCCACCCCCTCTGGATCCGGGCCTGACTACTAGGTGCCATATAACAAAGAAACAAATTCATAACAATAATAAAAAGGTTCAGTCTCAAGCGAGGTGATTTATACTTTTGCTGAACAAACTGATATGTTATTAGATTTGGNCAGAGAATTGTCAAGTCCCGACGCCCCTGATACAAGGTGAGTAAAAATAACTAGTCAAAGTAAACAAAATAAAAAAAGTTTCTTATATAAGTATCTCCATATTAGATCCTGTTTTTCTCTTCAATTGCTTTAATTGTTGTAATTAAAAAATCCTGTAATTTTTTTCTAAACTGATATACAGGGTGTCCCTGAAAAGGATGGACAACGCTTGACCACAGGTTCCCTGGATGAAAATAGCTTAACTTATCCATATTCAAAAATGCACGCCTACTGAGATATAGCCTTCTAAATATAGAACACATAACCTAGTTTTTTTCAAATAATTTGAAAACTGTTTTTCTTAGATACTTCAAATTTGGTATACATATTTTTTTATATAAGGGCAATGTAAATATAGAATTTGGTGAGAATACATATACAGGATGTTCTCTTTCTAGTACCTGTGCGCTACTGGCTATCCTATAACTTTTTTGTGTCTACGCCAATGACGACATAAGTTATATTTTTTAAAATAAGCACTATTTTAGAAGATTTTTTGCCTCTTACAAAATTTTGATATCGTTTATGGACTTCGAGTAAAATTGGCATTTTTTACACATTAAATAATATAAAATCAGTTTAAGATAATTAGAACAGTCTACTACTAGGTGCCATATAACAAAGAAACAAATTCATAACAATAATAAAAAGGTTCAGTCTCAAGCGAGGTGATTTATACTTTTGCTGAACAAACTGATATGTTATTAAATTTGGGTTATTGTGAAGGAAATTGTTGTGCTACTATTCGACCATATGCTGAAAGATTTCCTAATCGAAGAACTTAAAATCACAAAAATTTGCTAATGCGGAAAGACGCCTTCGGGAAACAAGACGTTTTTTTACCAGGAACATTAAATCCTGGAACTATTCAGCTGGAAGAACAAATTTTGGAAAGGATCGAAGAAATTCCTCAGTTGAAAAAGTTTCGTTAATAGAGTATTAAAAGACCAGTTATTACAGGTTACTATCCTAATAGGTGGATAGGTAGAGGAAATAATGCCCTTTTAAAATGACCACCTCGATCCCCGGATCTAAACCCATATAACTATTTCCTTTGAAAAGCGTAGAGGACTACAGTTTATAACTGATAGTAATAGATACAGAAAACGGATAATGGGAAAGAATACATGAAAAATACATGAATACATGAAATTAATGTTATGTGAGGTAATGCACAATTATTGGATAAAATTCATTTTAATATTCGAAAAACTAATACTTGCGTTTAAGAACAAGGAAGTCACTTCGAGCATTTACTGTAATATTATTTTAATGATATGATTATAAAAACTATAAATTTAGATTTATTTAAAATGTTAACGTTGACTTTCTTACATTATTAGTTGATATTGTTTATTTAAAATATTAATGTTGATTTTTATTTTATTGATTGATAATACTAAGCTAAAAATGTANTAAAATGTTAATGTTGACTTTCTTACATTATTAGTTGATATTGTTTATTTAAAATATTAATGTTGATTTTTATTTTTATGATAATACTAAGACTAAAAATGTATAGTTATTTTTTTTAATGTGACGTTTTTTCATTATTATTCCCTGCATTGAGGCTGCAGTTATAAATAATTTTTTACAAATCGGAATATTTGCCTATATTTAATGTATAAAAATGCCAATTTTACTCGAAATCCATAAACGATATCAAAATTTTGTAAGAGCAAAAAAATCATCTAAAATAGTGCTTATTCTTAAAAATTTAAATTCTGGCATTACTATTCTATATTTAGAAGGCGTGCACTTTTGTATATAGGTAAGTTAGGCTAAATAGTCCTATTTTCATCTAAGGAACCTGTGGTCAAGCGTTGTCCAAGCGTTTTTCAGGGACACCCTGTATATTGTCATGTACAAAACATACAAAATAAGCTCTGCTTTGTTGACAATCCTTTTTTTTTGCAGCCATTACTGCAGAGACGTTTTCCATAAGAAGTGCAGACAAAACTACCAGCCTCTGACGCTTTTCGTATACGAAGAAGGTAAAATACAATTCGATAAGTTCCTGGTACCCACTACTTGCAAGTGCTGCGCTGAATAACGGATTGGCTCTTCGTCGTCAGGTCCTTCTCATTATAACGATAACTATGTAAATAAAAACGTCTTGAAAACAGTAAGCGTATTTATTAAAAAAAACGCGTTTAGAAGGTATGACACAAACTTGTGTTTCTAAAACTTAGTGCTGACAAGGAGAAGGTAAGGTAGTCGGATTTTTGTAATNGGAATATTTGTCTATATTTAATGTATAAAAATTCCAATTTTACTCGAAATTCATAAACGATGTCAAAATTTTGTAAGAGCAAAAAAATCTTCAAAAATAGTGCTTATCCTTAAAAATATAAATTCTGGCATCACTGGCGTACACACAAAAAAAATACGGGATAGCCAGTGGAACACAGGCACTAGAAAGAGAACATCCTGTATATGTATCATCACCAAAATTTTTTATTTACTTTGAACTTTTATATTGAACGAATATAAAAAAATAATAGTACCAAATTTGAAGTTTCTAAGAAAACTAATTTTCAAATTATTTGAAAAAAACTAGGTTATATATTCTATATTTAGAAGACTATATCTCAGTAGGCGTGCACTTTTGTATATAGGTAAGTTAGGCTAAATAGTCCTATTTTCATCCAAGGAACCTGTGGTCAAGCGTTGTCCATCCTTTTTCAGGGACACCCTGTATATTGTCATGTACAAAACATACAAAATAAGCTCTGCTTTGTTGACAATCCTTTTTTTTTGCAGCCATTACTGCAGAGACGTTTTCCATAAGAAGTGCAGACAAAACTACCAGCCTCTGACGCTTTTCATATACGAAGAAGGTAAAATACAATTCGACAAGTTCCTGGTACCCACTACTTGCAAGTGTTGCGCTGAATAACGGATTGGCTCTTCGTCGTCAGGTCCTTCTCATTATAACGATAACTATGTAAATAAAAACGTCTTGAAAACAGTAAGCGTATTTATTAAAAAAAACGCGTTTAGAAGGTATGACACAAACTTGTGTTTCTAAAACTTAGTGCTGACAAGGAGAAGGTAAGGTAGTCGGATTTTTGTAATTTTTGATATTTATGGTACGTGTAGTTTGGACCTTGAATAAGAATTTTCCGAAGTAGTTCCACGCAACGCAACGTTCATAAATTACCGAGATAATCGATTTTGAAGTTTTACCTGACAGTTAAATTTACTAGATGTGACGCAGTCTTCAACTGGGAGCGTGGCGTAATTGGTAGCGTATATTTTTTTCAAAACTATCATAAAAAAATGAGAAGCAGAAATTTTTTAAGCATCTAGTTTCCTTTCTTTTTCTTTTTCTGATCTCGAAAATTATGAACAAACGAAATATTATGAGAACTGTACGTACGAATATTCTTCAAGTGTTTAATTAACATTTTGAGCTAGATTCTGTGGGTCGTCCACCGTGTTTAAAAAAAACCGCTTACAGAACACAGTGCTCGGGAATAAAAAGTTTCGTTAAATTCCACAAAGGGTAGAGAAGCATCGAAACTATGTGATGAAAGAACAATCTTTCAAAATATTAACGAAATTTGCTTCAACGTCTATATTTTGAAAACAAAATGCGCCTGTAAAAACATAACATTTACACGACATGCTAGATGCTTAAAAAATGTCTGCTTCCCATGTTTCTATGATAATTATCATTCTGGCTTATACTACACTGCGTAAAATGTCAAATACTAAAAATAAAATAAAAAACCTACCTGACCTCGTTTGTTTTTTTTTAAAGAAACTTTATTGTTAATTCATAATACCTAAATATTGTTCATCAACCAATTGTGCATTTTAATGAAATATTTGAAGAATATTTCTAAATATACATAAGTATTTATTATAATATTTCGTTTGTTCATAATTTTCGAGATGAAAAAAATAAAAAACCATAAGGTGCGGTTTGAAAAAAAAAATATATGTCACGTGACGGACTCGAACCAGCGATCTCGTGACTGTCAGTCTCGAATGTTATTAATTAGACCACGCTCCCAGTTGAAAAATGTGTCACATCTAATGGATTTAACTGTCACGTAAAACTTCAAAATCGATTATCTCGGTAATTTATGAACGTTGCGTCGAACTACTTCAGAAAATTCTTATTCAAGATCCAAACTACACGTACTATAAATATCAAAAATTACAAAAATCCGACTACCTTACCTTCTCCTTGTGAGATATAAATATTATACAGGGCGTTTTACAAGCTTTATCACAACCTGTGACAGATGGTAGCTGGGCAAATTTCAAGTATTTTTTGTTATACGAACATAGGTTCGTTTTTAGAAGTTACAAGTTACAAGCATTTAAAAAAAAAACATATTTCATTAATCCAACCTAAAATTCCCTTACCTTTATCATCGCCTTCAATAGGGTATACCTCTGGAAAATGTTGTGGACGCTCTTGCTGTCATTGTATTTCTCCATGAGTCCCACCAGCGCCTTCTTTGCGGTATCGTAGGATTCGTCCATCCTCACTCTCACTGCCCTAAGCCTCTCGTTAGTTTCTATGACTTCCTCCTTGGTGGCACCGGTCGCGGTGCCCTCGTCCTTGACGTCCTGCACGATCCTCCGGACGCTCTGGGTGAATTTTCCCACCAAGTTAGTCGAGCCTGAAGAGAAAATTTAACCGGTTTTGAGTTACTGTGAACGAAGTTACAGTTTAACAACTAATTTACGACCTTCCCCTGTAAGCGTGAAGTTTTATAAGTAACAGGAGCTCTGAAAGCCCTCAGTCGAAGCCAAAACTCATTTCTTTTCGAGGATAAAACAACGGCAGCCTTACTAGGCATTGTTCCTTTGTAATCTGTTGATTTTACAACTTGTTGCACGGCTCACTGTGCCGGCTTGTTTTGAAACTCCATTAAATTAAAATCGGGTACCTTTTTTTAAGTAAAAGCTGCTGCGTTTGGCTACCAAGTTTGCTACTTATCGGTATAACCGTAATGTTAGTAGTAGAAGTAGATAAAGTAGTTTTTTAATGACAATTTTACAATTATCTTGACTGGCAGCAGCAAAACACTAATCAATTTTTTCTGCCGAGTAAAACGGGTTGCATAATTAGTTAAGATACTTGGAAATGGGCAATTTTAACACGAAAGGAGACACAGATGTGAATTCAAGACAAATTTAAAAAAAAAATGCACTGGTGGCGCCATCTTATTCCGCAGTGCAAATGGCATCTTGTAAGGCGACCTAAGCGGCATATTTCGAATAGACAGCGGCCAGGCATTCCAGCGATTTCGGGGACTGGCATAGCTAGGTCGAGAATGAGAGTTGTCCTCGACATTTAACTTAAACGGGCTATTATTAGCTTGAGATCAATTGGTGCTGTTATAGTTTATACTAAAAAGGCAAGTTTCAGTTCGTTTTTGTTGGTAAACACTACCTTTCACATAAAATAAATGCTACAGGTGAGTCTACTGAAACATTTTAGAGATTGGATTTGTAAAAAAGTCATGATTACAAAATGTGACTCTTGCTGTATCTTCTTGCTTATTTTTGAGTAGCGAGAATTAAAAATAAACGTTGTTCCTTACCAGGATATCTCCAGTTACTGTCCTTGTCGTAATAATTACAGTAATTTTTTTAGAAATAAGTTTCATCTCGCAGCTCAGTGAACGTCTGGTGATGTTTATATTATCACGACTGTGAGTCATAAAAACGAAGCATTCAATTAGAAGATAATATATCGTACTGATGGTAATCGTTTCCCCGTTAATAGTTTCCCCGTTAATAGCATAAAATTAGCTGGTCACGAATTACGAATTTGCTTACAATTAATCATACGGATGTTTCATTACGTCCACAGTAGAATATTTGTTGGTATCTGAATGTTGACAGCAATAAGAATATTTTAACAATTATTTACGGAGAAATCGCAATGAAAACAAACATTTGTGACAGCATTACGATGATATGAACGGCAGCACCAGCTGTTGATTTACGGCGACGCAAATACATAAATATCATCAAATGCAGCATATATTCGGAGTTGTATTGACCAATGTCATGTTCTTGTTGTAAAACACCCGTAAATTTAGGATTTCAGCGATTTGGTGAAATATCGGATGCATTTTTGTTTTGTTCTAGATCATGTATTGCTTCCTTGTATACAAGATGTTCCTTTTCTAAATGTACTATCTTTAAGAGTTGATGGGGGACTTTATTTTGAACAAAATCAACTTGATCTGCAAACGATTCACTACAACCACCCTTTGACCTTTTTGAAATAGAATTTCTACACTTACCTACGGTTTTTTTTTAATTTTATGACATATTTCAAATCGTTGATCGATTTTAAACGAAAAATTGTTCTTGCAAAGTTGTAGGAAAAATATAGGATATACAAATCCAAATCTCTAAAGGAAGACACTCATAAATATTGAAATTTGAAGTCTGTATCTTGAGTAATTCATCGAAAACTATGTCCACTCTCAGCCTTTGAACCTAGACCACCTCTTTGTCGATGAAAATCGATTCCCATGCAACTATAACCTTTTTCTCCATAACTCCACCTTTGACAAATTCCTAACCGGTGCCTATGGCACGCCATCGCCCTGGTACAAGGTATTGCCGGAATAATCTTCTAAAGAACATAAAAGTCGATTTGCGGTTGAAAAAGATGAAAGCAATCAGATCGGGCCGATTTTCCCCTCAGTCGAGCGTTCGAGTTGCATAAAAACACCGATCGGGCCGATACAGAGCTGGCAGTCATTTGTCTAACTGCACGGGCTCGGGGGAAATCAATTGTAGTGCAAACGCTGCGTTAACCGATATCGGAGTAGTGATAAGGAACGAGAGGAGGAACGTTTGGAATTATTGCTGTTGCCTTAGAGAGGCAAATAGGTCGTTTTCATAGAGAGCTAGTGGAACCGAGCGAAATCCGCGGTCTGGCGCCTAACGTGGGGCCACGACACAAGACCGTGGCCCTCGTTCCTAGATTAAAACACCGAGACCAACAACTTGAGACACCGTTTTATTTTTTTAATGACAAACATTTGTAAAGTGGTGAAGTCTTACTAAGGCAATTACTTAACATACTTTCGCGTGAATTAAAACTTTCCCAGGGGTCCTCGAGAAGGCCCATCTTCGCCTAATTATTATTATTATTAACAGGCTTACGGAACCAACTTTAAATATTCAATGGGATGTCGCAGACTCTCATTACATTGCAAATTGCATCCTGGGATTCCATTTGCATAATCTGCTTAGCTCTGGCTGAAAACGACGACGAAGTTTTTACTCATTTGCTGTAGCGGCCTCGGTGAAATTGTATTCAATTACCCACAGAACCAGAGCCGCAGGGATGTGTCCAGAAAAACTCGACCGGTTTGGAGAAATAAACTCTAGAGGATATGTAGAACGGGGAGTTACTGAAGACAGGAAAATAAGGTTCTACGATTAAGAACAAAAAAAGTGAGTATTAAAATTGTTCCAAACAAATCTGGGAAACCAAAAACCACTTCATCGGTGTTTGCCCTTCCGCCTCGTCGAACTCGAATCGTAATCCAAGCGATAATTTTACCGAAGTTCCGAAGAGCAATAAAGGTTTTACGGGGTCTGTTAATAATCGTAGCAGGAAATTTAATTAAAGCAGTTCCGCCGAATCAGATCTATTCCAATTAATTTTAACGAATTAATTCAAATAGTATCAAAGGCGGTGGTAATTTCGGTACTGATGATGATCTCTCAATCTTTTTTGTAGCCTATAAAACGAGGTTTGGCCAGTGGTTAGATGAGAAGGATTGTGGGTTGCATAAAACTACTTTGTACATCGCACAAAATTATTATTATACAACAGGAAAATTAGCGAAAATAAAAGAGAAACTCGAAAAAAGTCCTATCCGCGAGATTATTGTAAAATTGTCTAAAGGAACATAATACAAGACATCTCTCATCTCGTGAGTCAAAAACTTTTATTAGCTAACTTTTCTATTTAACCAAATAAGTGAGGAAAACAGTTTTTTCACTTTGCAGGGAAAATCATCAATTTTAGCGAAAAGTGACTCTCAGACAGCTTATAGGGAGTAAAACTATCTACAAAATGAGACTTGTTAAATTAAAATCGGTTAATAAACAAAAAAGTTATTGCATAAAAAACAAGAAAAGTGCCCATTTTTTAATTTGTTTATTACTATCGCATTCATTGTTAAAATTTTATAAAACCTATGACAAGTTTAGGGTTTTGTCATACTTCAAAAGTGTGCCAAAAGTGGGCGCTGTAGGTGCAATAGTTTTCGCACAATTCTATTTGTTTATAACGGAGGCTCCAAAAGTTATGCACTTTAAGCCTCTGTACAGGCGTTAATTTTCAACCAAACATGATCCTGAAAGCGTCATTGTAATCTTAAAGACGTAATTAAGCGACCTATTAAAAAATATCACCGTTTTGTTGACATTAACATTCTCAAATTGTGCATTAAAAAAACGTGCGTTTTTCGCTTATAAACAATTAATTACCTTCTACGAAAAAGATAGAAACCAAGAGCGCTGCGGAAAGGAAAACAAAAGAAAACTCGAGACCTCTAGATGTTTTACATCCTTAAGTGCACACCCTCACTTTTTTAAAAGCATCAAAAAGATACAGACAGAGATCAAGAGCGTCACGGGGAGGAAAACAAAAGATAACGTAAGGCCACTAGATATTTTACCGCCTTAAGCCCCCTTTGAAAGTCGAAGGGGCCGAACTTTAGCAGGTAAAGCACTCGTAAAACCATAACGAGACCTGTAGGTCTCAATTACACGGGGCAGGGGGTGAAAATAATAGGAAAATATGGATCGACCGACCTCCTCTCGAAAGAATTTAATTACAAATGCCTTGCAGACACCGCGCTATGTCTTTCAGTTACAATGCTTCTCACTTAGGCGGGGTGGGGGAGGGGGTGGAAGGCATTGTTGTTAGTCCAATTAGGAGCTCGATAAATAACCCCGCCTGGGACTCCTTCCTAGGTGTATAAATAATTCGGGTGCAAGAAGGCGCGGAGGGAATCTTAATTAGAATAAAAAAAATGTGACAGTGAATCGGAATAATTCTTTTATTATTTATATATTTTTTATGTTGCTATGCGAATGTCGTGTAAATAGAGGAAAATACTTTTTTGTTATTTATATAATTTTAAAAGCAACAGATATTTCTGGGCAACATATTTTTTTGGCGTACCCCGTAGATGCTGCAATTCCTTTGTGCAACTAATTAAAAGATAAACCGGCCCCTATCAGCCGCTGGTAGAACAAAGAATAAAAATAATATTTGCGGAGTATGACAAATGTATTTTTAAAACTCCAAAAGCAGCAGTTTTGTTTGGGTAAAATCCAAACATTTTTTTTTTATTGTAAACAAGCCAGAGAAGGTTAAAATGAACCTGAAAGTGCCATTTGGCGCTGACACTATAGTCTGTTTGGAAATGAAAGAGAGTAATAAAACCCCGAGATAAGAACCGGCCATGGGCGTGGTAATATTTCGCTTCAGGTAATTATCGGGTAACACTAATGCTAACAGGTAATGGGTGTACATTAGTATATTTTACTGGATACATCATAGGGCAGGAGCCAGTGTATTGTGACAGATCAATCCAGTCTTAGACTGAATATACGAAGACGTGCTAGTGCAGTAGAGTAAAATTCGACTTGTGTTTAGTGACTATTGTGCCAGTGGATATAATATTGTTTGGGTAAAATGTCGAGCTTATCAGATTACGTACCTGCTAAACGCGTGAAAAGATGTGCGCTGTCTCAGAATGAGAAGATTATTATATTAAATGTATTTAATGCATTGAAAACCAAAATCCTACCAACAGTGTTGACGACATCGTGGAAAAGTGTTCCAAAATGACAGGGTTTGGAAAATCGATTATCTACAGACTTTTAAAGGAAACAAAAAATGAATGTAAATGTAATGTAATGTAAATCCCCCAAAATCTACAGGGAGGTCAAAAGTCTATTCATTAAATTTAAATAAATATTTTGATAATAATATTGAATTTTATTTGAATTACTAAAAACCCTCTTAACCCGGTTATGATGCTTAAAGTAGCCTCATGTTTTGAAATGCTGTTTTCATATTGTTTACTTATAAGAGAAATGGACTGAGAAATTGAAGCGGCATAGACAAAGACGGATTGTCGGGGATTAAATTTTAGCTACCTGCTACAATTTAGTACAACCCGGTCACACAAAGTTTTTTTAAAAGTACACCTCATCATTCAAATATTGAATATAAGCACCAGTACTACATTTATTTACGATTTACATACGTAATAAGCTTTTATTACTCTCTTTCATTTCTAAACAGACTATAACGTTAAATGCTCAGTAAGCGTATGTTCTGATAATCCTGGAATATTAATTTGTTTATAATTTGTACAACGGAAATTTGAAACAGCCGTGTAAATATTTGTTCATTGAGAATTAAGTCCAGTTTCAGCATTCAAGGTTTTTTATTCATTGGTTTATTTCCCGAAGGAAACGCCGAAATACAATAAGAGAAATATACTCATCTAAGTGTGGTAATAACCGGATTCTGCACAATTCTTACATAAATTGTTTGTAAAACCTAAACGTTGATATAAAAAATCAATTATCTTCATCACAACATCCTGCACAGATCATTTACCTAATAAGAAACCGTTGTCTTTGACTTGTGGTTAAATACTGCCGATTCCGTATATCGATTATTTTTTTTTACTAGTGCGGTTTCCAAAACAATTTGATGAGCTGTAATTGATGTATTCTTATACAAACATGCCACTTAAGTTGTCAGTTGAGTGTTAAGTGGTCTGCGACAAATATAGTCCAGTTCAAAGTGGTTATTTATTAAGAAAGTTCATATATTTGATATGAGTATATAGATCGTAGCGATACGATAGTTATTTGCATTATAAAGGAGGTAGGCATCGCTTTTTTCTCTAGTACCTCCCGTTGTCCATAGCAAATATCACGAAATTTTGACAGTAAACTAGCGAAAGATCTACCTCTCCGACGTATGCAATTGCCAACAGATGGCCTCACTTGAAATACCCATTTTTGAAAAGACTAATTGAACTTACTTTGCACCTTACAAAATTTACGAGATATCAACGGTAGGCGAGGAAGAACGGTCCCCACTGTATATCCTTCCTACTACCGGACTATCTCCAAGCCCGGAGTCAAGGCGAGCGGACCACCCCACTCCGGGAGTTTCGTGCGAATAGCCCAAGAGCCACCGACGGCGTGCAAACCGTAATACACAGGTAGAAGCGATGTTTTTCGTCGAAACCCCAGACGTATGTCGTAGTCGAACTCTAAATAATCACCAAGTGACAGTGTAGTTTTTTGTCGTACCTTGTGACGCCACAGTTCTTTACAGTGAGTATCATAAATGGGCAACAGAGGTTGAAAAGTGATGCTCCTCGGTTTACCAGATTTCTAATCGATGCTAGCAAATATATTTTCATGTAAAGCTGTTCTAAATACCTTTTTGGATACGGTGTATCATAGAAATGTGATAATTACATATTCGTGGTTGGTTTCTTACGAAAACAATAACCGTTTAAACATTATCATCAACGTATGGAAATTCTTACACACACCGCTTTGTTAGTTGCTAAATCAGGTATGCTTAGGAATTTATGATAATATGCCAGTATTAATTTGATAATAAATTAATTTAAAGCTTTCTGGTGCTGTAATATAGAACATCAGTAACATTTTTGAGTATGAAGTTCAGCGGTGTGTGTTTGTTTACAAAGGTATGCCACAGGGGTCTAAACTTAGACTCTTTTGGCTTTCTGATATATGTGACGCCTTATATTGTGTTCCTAATATCCAACCCAGTATATTTGACGCAGAGCCACTAAATTGTGATCGGATGTATATTTTTTTTAATCTCATCTGAATCTTCTGGTTCCCAATTGAGATATTAACGACTAATCCAATGACACATCCTTTGCAGTGATTCATTCACTTGCGGAAATAAAAAAAAACGAGTTATTTTAAAGGAAGAGTGTAGGAATAAGTAATGGTCTGAAGCATCTTATTAATTTCTTACCGGTTTCTTAAAATAAATATGAACACGTTGAAAACGAGCTGCCCAAGGTGGTGACGTGTCCGTGATCGATCCAGATTTTTAAATTTTGGTTTTTGCACCATGATCGAATAAAATTTTCTATTTATAGGCGTAACGGGACGCCAAAACATTTCAAGGCCGGAGACATTGATAATAATTAGCGTTCGACTTAAAAATTAAACAACAGCCAAGACGAGACAAATAAGTAATTAAGGACAATTGGAAGAGGCAGCTGTATTCGGTCGAAAATATTATTAACTCCAATTTGCTGTTCCTAATTCTTACGTCGCGCGTCGTGAGAAACTGTTGGACTACATAAAAAGTACGTCACAATTTTTTTAAATTTAGTTCATTATGTCTAAATCTACGTACGCAGCACCCTGTACATTGTAACGGCATCAGTAAGCGATTACTACGATTAGTTTATTTGGTCTTCAACCAACTCGACGGCTAATAAGTCGGTGATAGATAAGGCTACTTATTATGCAGCTGGTGATGGTGCCACACCAAACATATTGGGAATGACCAATCACGGCCTTGTTTGGGCAGCCTTGGAACTCAGATGTGCACATAATTAACATTTATAAGCAGATATTCCTACATATTTGATAATGTCAACTAAAGAAGAAGCGTCGAATAGAAAAAATATATTTCATGAATTATAATAATCTGAACGACCTTGCGTGCAACTCATATTTCGCAGGAAACTAATTTCACCTGTACTCAGCGTTGAATCTATTTAAAGCGGAAGTGCAATTTTGTACTTCCGGAAATATTACTAGCTAATCTCATCCCGGCGCTATGAGAGAGATTTAATCTAAGGTTAAATTCCTAAAATCGACAAAAATTAGGTTCATTACAGCCATTCTGTGTCCAATTTTTATAGTAATTAGAAAGGGAGGTAAATAATTAGGATACATAAGCGCGGAACCCAGAAGCCTTCATTTGTTAATACGGTAAAAGATTATGGCGAAAGCAAGTGGCAGAAATAATTAATAAAACGTTTAATCTGTTTCTTTAACTCCAAATTGAAAAGCATCGCCTTAGAATCTTGAATCTGCAGCGAACCAATTTTGTGCATCTAGATCATCCGTATTTAAAACAAACCTTTATTATTTAACAAGGCGCCGTATATTTTCATAAAACATCTGCACAAGGTCAACAAATATGGAGTGTACATATTCAAACACCAAGACGTCGCCTCTGTAGACGCCTTGACGAAGTAATTGAAGAAACAATTATTTCATTTATTGATTGAAACAAATATCGCATCTAATAGGACCACTGTAGCCGTGGTAATGACCTTGGAAACTAAAACTATTATGTAACACGTAAATATCAATAACAACCAGTCAGTTGTAGCGGCGGTATGCAACTACATGGTATTGTGTGGACGACAATGACCCCAATTACAATTTGAGTGTTTGTTTAAGCAATTTGAAGAGGTGTTAATGTATCAGAAAGCTTTGCTAATTTGACTAAGTTTCCGTTTATCAATTTTAATAGAAATTTCAGAAACGTCATGGCTTCGTCAACTGAAATTTTACTACGTCGATCACAAACTTGTGGTTTTAGTGTCATATTAATCAAAATTGTTGGGCAGACTTTAGGCAACGCTGCAATCTCGCCTGGATGCCTTGAAGTCATGCGTTGTGGTATTTGAGAGACACATATTTGTTCCTATAAAAAGATATTTAGTAAAGTAGTTAATTTCATGCTTATAGAATGTAGATGATTGTCCCGAGAGGTCGACGGCTTGTACTACTGACGAAGTTGGCTCAGAAAAAGGACATTAATGTAACGGATTTGTATATCAACAACAGTTTTTAGTGTCATTTATGCTTTGCCAAACAATTACCTGCATGACGTTTTTTAATAGGTATTTCTTTGTATTTGAAAGGGTAAACTAAGCTAATGCTTTGTGAAATTATACATACGGAAAATTAAAAAAGTATTAGAGTTTTTCTAAACTCAAATTCTGCCTGGTTTGAAGATTAATTTGTTTGTTGCCGCATTGTAGACGATCGTAAAGAACTTTAGTTTTTCTTGCTTTTTTTTTCAAAAACGTCTGTCACGTTTATCAGGTAGCCACTTTGATTAGAACAACCTTAATTTACCATTTTCAAGGTCCATTTTTTCAGCTTCGACTAAAAGAACTGATATAGTAGTTTTATTGCAGTTACCCAGCGATTTCTACACTCATTTTCGGGGAATCCCCGACCACAAGAGACATGAATGATGCCGATTATCGTAAACAAACAATGATTCTTGTGCAGGAAAAAGCATACGCCAGCTTCGCTGGAATTTCCAAACGGGCGCGTTGGCAATTTATTTTTTAGTTTTTATTTATTTGCCGACGAACAAACCACTTAAAAGTAGTAGTCGAAAGCCATGTGGATGCTGCCAAACGACCGGGAATTTTGGTTTATATCAAGTGTAATTAACGAAGCGACTTTATTAATGAGCTATCCTCCTCGTAAATAATAAATTGTTCCGCAGCATAAATTTTTTTCGTCCAAGTACCCTTGACATTTGGACGAAATTCGATGCAGATTAAAAACGCAAACACAATATGGCAGCTTCTCTAAGAAACAGATATTTTTAAGCTAGATCGTTTCGTCATAATTAATTGACGAAACATTGAAGACACAAAGTACGTAAATTTACTCATGCTCGGATGTAATTACACTTATTTTTCACACTTAAAGCACACCAAACACAATAAGTTCACTTACATTTGACTGGTTTGTCGTTTGCTTTACGGACAGACATTTTTAGCCCTCCCTATCGACTTTTAGTTAAACTCCTGCTCATTGGTGTTGAATTTCTAGAAAAAGAGTCAAAAATATTATTAAAACATCAGTTGCCGCTAGGAAATCTTCTTTATGCACCCATTTTTATAAAAAAAATAGGCTATACGGAGAAGGGACGTCAAATTAATAGTTTTAGAGATATTCAGAAGTTATAGTCGTTGGATTTAATTTTAACACACTGTAGCAATCTTGTTTTATGTAGGAATCTTTTTTTTATAATATATAGGATGTAATTATGAATTTTATGGCCGTTTTATGGCTAGAAAGAGCAGTGTGTTATTTACGTCTTAGGAGTTTAATAATTTCATTAAATACACCTTTATTAATACTGCAGTTTTAGTTATATACTGCGTTGTTTATTCATGCATTAAAAGTTAATGTCAGAGTTAGGAAAATATGTCAGTAGGTATTTGAAGATAAAATTCTGTCTTTGAAATTTTTTCTGAACATTTTTCATGTAGTTCAGAGTACCACAAATTGTTCGACTGTATTTCTCTATCGTTTTTTTTTCGTTAAAATTGCTGTTTAAAAATAAATAAAGGGACTGAGATCTTTTGAGTAACAAAAGACGTTTGAAATGTCAAAAGGATATGTTTTTTTATGCATTTTTGGAACATTCCTATTATGTTACCTGTTCAAATAGATCTACGTATTTGGAATCGTATCAATCAGTCCGTAATTTCTATTTATGGAAATTAGCCGTACAAAAATTCATAAATTTCTGCAATACAGGTATATTACATCACCCGACTTATCAGCATATTGAATCACGACTGTACATTATTTCCGTGTTCCCAAACAAATTGATTGCGGTAACAAAGTTAATAGTTTACAGCTTTCATTATAAAAAATAAAAGACGCATATTTTATTATTTAATTTACAAGGACCAGAATGGTATGGCCTCTAATACCACCAGACCTCGGTCCTATCAAGCGCAATCACAGCATAATATACACGTCAGTTCTAAAAGGGATTTCAGCTTTCTATTTTCCAAAACTTTCCACACAAGATTGTCGCAGCAATTTCCAAAGTCGTCAAATAAAAGTTTAATAAGATGAAGGATTTTACGGCGTATTCAGTTTATTGGGGACCGGGAAACTTCTCGAGTACGTTTCTGAGGTAGTAAAGACGTATTTAAGAAGTTTTATTTGTTCCTCTACCACTGATTAACCACAAACTAGAGATACAAGATAAGAAACGTAGTACACTACTACCCAGAAATTTTGTATAAGAAGAACAAAATGATTCTGATGTTTAAAACGACTTTACACAATATGAGAATTGCGCGAAAGAAAAATAAACTTCATATAACACGTCACGTAATTAGGGAAGTCTAACTTTTACGAACTGAAGACAAATTTAGTGTGGAATAAAGTTTATTATAAGCAAAATATGCTAGACTAACGCTTCCATGTGTGGGGAGCAGGCAGATGAATAATTTAAGATTTTTCCACGCCCTTTGAGTCACGTTTTAGCATGATTCGCC